GACGCTGAGTTCTGGGAACACACTGTTGCATCCAACTCCTCTTCTTCAATGGGTAACTACTGTCCCAGGAGCCCCCCCAGTACTGAGTGGGCCAAGCCCTATTGAAAGGACCCTTAATGGGAGCATAGATGATCAGTGTGTAATTAGATGGAAAATAAACAAATGGATGAAGGGATGGAATCTCTAATCCTGCCACATAGCTACCACCTGACCTGCCTTAAGTTGAGAAGACCACTCCTCTGGGACTGGACTGGACCTCCTGGTTGTGGGAGCTACTGCATTTAAGGCCTGAAGAGGCCTTTTAGAGGTAAAGACTCTGTGAACTCGTTCATTTCTCTGCACTGCAATGGTGAAACATATGGCATTGCCGAGGAAAGGTTGATGAGAGAATCAGCAGTTTATCCATGTGTATGTGTCCTTGTCTGCACATGCATAAGTGTGTGCAAGCATGCATACAGTACAAGCTGTTTAATTTCTGTGTGTGCGCATCAGTGTGCCTGTGTGTGCAGATCCGTGTGTGGGCATCTCTTGCCTGCCTGTGTCTGTATCTTGTCATAATAGACCCACCAGGGCTCAAACATTTGATCGCTGTAGTGTATAAGGTATGTAGTAGTCTCATGATCCTGTGAAGGAGATGTCTAGGTATGAAGACTTGTTTTTGGAATGTGATACACACATGCAGTAACTGTACAATAACTGCAGCTTTTTGCTCCAAATGTTTAACAGCTACCAACTGATATGCTTTTTTTTTTTTTTTTTTTACTTGTATTTTAATGCAAATCTTTATGGTTCATTATCAAAGTAGGTACCCGTGCTTTTCCAGTCATTTTTGAGAATGCAGTTACATATGTTTGAGGAGACTAAATAATCACTAGCACATAATTTCAGTCTATAAATGTATTGCATTCTGAAATAAAACACTACACCCTCACATGCACCGGAATGGGATCAGCTCTTTTCAATTTCACAATTCATGCAAACCTGCCTGTTATCGCATCTCTCACAGCTACTGTCAGGACCTGTCTTCATTTTTGGTGTAAAGGGATGTGAAGATGAAATATTGTGCACTGTTGGATGTTTTTCTGTGGGACCCATGGAACAGAATTCATATACTCCCGTTTGGAAAATTCTGATTGTGTTGGAAATCTGAGGAGGGTTTTTGAAGAGATTGAACCATAGGAAATGTATCTAAGGTCTGTACTGTGCTGATGTGAATCTACAATACAGTCGTTTTGCAATATGAGATAAGTTGTTACATGATGGACATTTAGCTTTGATTTCTCTTTTAAGAATCTCAAGTATAAACTTAAAGATGTACAAAAGAAAACACATCAATAGTATACAAGATATCCAGAGGGAAGAATGTGCATACCTGTACAAATATAAGCAGTGGGCTTCAATACTTTGCCAAATGTGGTTTTGCCCTCCAAACCATAGATTTGTTTTTCTTTTATTTTTTCCCCTGACCCCCAAGACTTCTGGTGTGTATAACAGCTGTTTGTGATGGTGGCAAGGCATTAAATCAAGATATGTGCACAAAGGCTACTGAAAGGTTGTTGAAAAGACTGTTTTTTTTCCATCTTCCTCAGTCTGTTTCATAACTGTAGTGTTTTTGTTCCTAATTCTTATGAAGTGTTTTTACAGCAGTAGTTTCATACTTCTGTAAAAAACAATTTGCAAACCAAAATGCAATGTACAGTAGATATGGATTATATTTTAGATTTACTGCACTTCTATTTGTAAATATGATCAATTAAATAAACAAAAGGAGGTAACTGTGTGAGTGTCCTCTGTGCAGCTCTTCATATTTTTTGTAATGAGACTCTGTGGTTCAGTTTAATAAAACCATAGGCTTTGGCATATCAAGACACTTTACATGTATACCTGTAATATCTCAGGAGCAGAGTGATCCCTACTGTCCATCACAGGCCCTCTATAGATACTTTTAACTAGCAGCCAATGGTTTGAGTCATGTATCTATTAAAAATGCTCATTTTTGAGGTTTTAGCTTCTCAAATGTGAGCGTTTGCTGCTTTTCATACTCAGCGTTGCATTCAAGGATTACAAGTGTGGAGTATTCAGTCACCACCCAAATGAAAGGTTAAGAGGGAATTCCTTTTTTTTTTAACCAGAGAGGTGATATTATGCATTGAAAGGATGCCCATTACAGCAACTCACTCACATTTCTTCATAATTTCCCATGTTTGCATCTTTGAAATAAAAACCTTAGAACAAAGTAAATATGAGATGTCCTGAACAGTCTGCATCATATGAAGAAGACATGAAAAGACAAAGTGTTTACAGTGGGACAGAAAATAAACAAAATCAGATTTCTTTAATTGCTTTTAATAGAAAAAACTTACATAAAGTGATCTGACCCTTCAAAATTCTTATTTATTAAATTAAGCTAATTTAGACTGTTCTGTCAGTGTGGTTGATGGTTGGCTCCTTTGTCAATGTCAGAATACAAACTAAACTGAATCAAAAAAAACTTTTAACCAATTAAATGCTGAAACTGAATTGATAGATCCACTGCACCGCAGGCAGGTACATTTTAAGTTAAAGATACCTGAATGTGAGGACTGTTGGAATACAGTGAGGATGTTTAAACTTTAATGATTCATTCTTTTTCTAATTTGCCACTGATATACTAATTACAAAATAATTCCCAATATCATGTTTCATTGCATATGTCACCTGATCAAATGATTTTGTAACTGGGTTACAAAAGATCAAAGATCTCTTTACAAACTGTGCAAGTTTGTAATCTTTTTCTGATTTTTCTGGATGTCAGTATGGACCTTCTGCAGATGATCTTGCAAGCTGTCGGGCCAGGTGAAGGCAACTAGCCAAACTTGTCATTACCACATATGTTGTCATTACACACAGAATATAAAGACATTACAAAGTGTGCAACAGATATCAAGCATCCCTCAGTTAATGACTGCACACACCTCCAAAGCTGCACTCTCAAAAAAATAATCTTCCAGGTTTAGGTACAGGAGGTGACTGCACCATGATCACTTCTTTCTGTATATTCTATCAATCAATAAGATCATTGTTAAATGTAATGTAAATCCTGGTGATTCAATCGTGTGAGAAAGATCATTCTAATGAAACACGTGAGAACGTTTTGCAAGCACAAAGAGCATTACAAAAATAGGCATCATTTTGATTATATACCACTTCTGCACACCATTAGTTTCTGTTACTAATCCCATGGCTTTAAATAAAACACAGGCTTGTGGCAATTTCAGCAATAAACCCTGCCAGATGAACAGGTATCCCAGGTGTGCAGGAGGTGGATCTAGCTCTGGCCTGATGCTCATTCCCTATACCTTCTCCTTCGAAGAAGGGGAGCTGTTTGTGTGTGATGTTGTTCATTACATGCTATTTGGGAGTTTCTGTTTCCGATTCTTTGCTGGAATCCCAGTCCTTTCAAACTCCAGCTTCTCTTTGATGTATTCCTGCTTACACTCCTCAAAAAAGGTAGGGTCCTTGTAGCTGGTGGAAGACAGAAATAATGTAGCCTGGTATGAATATAACTTAGATAGTGATTATATGGTTTTGAGACTACCAAGACTTAATAGGCAACAATTTAGTGTCAGCAAAGGTGGG